TTGTCCCTTTGGACCCTGAATTCATACCACGTAATTCTGTAGCAATCCAAAATAGGCTTTTCAACTGAAAACCACTCAACACCCCCCCCCCCCCCCCCCCCCCCCCTCCCCCCATTTGGGGGTTACCATATGGTTCTCTGTGGGTAATAGAAAACCCATTTAGGGACCCTAAAACTACTGTTGGCCCTGATTGGGCACACCTAACAGGGGCCCATGTGGGTTCCATCATCCCCACACAGCTCCAGAGTGCTTAAGTTTTACCACTGTTTTTGAACACTTAGCCATCTTCGACTGTGAGGCAGCTCCAAATAGGGCTTCATGAGACGTTTGATGTTCCAACTGGAACTCTGAAACTTCTAACTTCCAACTTCAAATTGAACACGTCAAATTAAACTTCTAATATATACTGCGACTGATTTATACTTATGACTCGTTAAATAGCCATAAGCAGATCATTGTCCAGGCTCTATTCCTGGATATACTGCAGCTGGTTTTTAGTTTAAAAAAGAACTATTGCTAGTGATGTAAAAAAAACAAAGCAACAAAAAATAAGGAATATTTCCAGTGATCCAAAAACACGTATTTGTAGTATTGCATGAATCTCTCTACCTTGCCAGAGAAAATCAAATCCTGTTTTTCCTTGCTAATGCAACTTCACTATTAAAAGCCCTCAACTTTCATTTCCGAGGTAACTGGAACGCCTCAACAGTTCCCCGATCGATCCACCAAGCCTAGTCCCAAGAGAGACTGAAGCAGCTGAAGAAGAACAAGCGGTGAGCATCGTCTCTGTTCCCCTGAATATGTGCTGATTTAGAGAAAGCTGCGGAATTATAAACAAGAATCCTCCAAATATTAAACATCCTGTTAATGATGTGGAGCACTTTTCCTCCTCTTTTCTTGCAGTGACTGGGATGGAGTTTTGCCTTCTGCTGTTAATGATATGGACCTTTACGGGAAGCACATCAGCAGAGCCTGACCAATACAGCAGAGCCGTGGTGAGTACAAAATATTCACGACACACAAGAAATCCTCTATGAGTTGTAAACGTTTATCGGCAGCTGTGTGGATTCCTTTGGTGTATCTGAAAGTGGGGAGGAAAATGTAGGGTTACTTTTGCATCAGTTTTTTTGTATCCTTTTGAATCCTACATATCATATACATATAATTTTAATCTGACATTTAATGTGTATTTTATCGGAAATTGTATTTCCACGTGTTTTTCATTTCAGATGGTAAAATTAACTACCCACGGCAAGGGGTGTGTGTTTTGGCGGCGGGGGGTATAGAAGTATTTAATATGAGACTTATGAGGTTATGGGGTTTATAAGAATATATCAAACATATGAAACGCTTTGGGGACTTTCTTTTGACCATTCTGAGAGATTAATCCTTCATCAGAAAAACCACTAGTTGTATAAATAGAATAGACATTACGTTACACACTTCACATGAAATGCGACGTGCATTAAGCCCGATAAACTTCCCACTTCCAGTTCCTCAAATATGAATTAATATTGCCATATTTCGTGGTATGTGTATATCGTGTGTGGCTTGGTTATGAGAAAGACAAATTTTTACTTCTTTGATTGAAAAAAGAGCCTAAATCCCGGATGACATTGCTGCAAATCTCACTGGGGGTAAATTATATATGTGTGTGTGTGTGTGTGTGTGTGTGTAAGGGAGTTTGAAGGCAGAGATCAAAGAGGACGGTTGATGGAATAAGCCACCACCTTTTTCCTGTCAAAGTGCAGCTTGCAGGGTGGAGGACATGTAACAGTGCCGCAGGTTTCAAAATCACGTTCAAGAAAGAGATTTCATTGTTTCAGTGTATGTGTGTAAAGTGTGTATTTTGTGTGCTTGTGTGTGTTTTGTGGTACACACTGCTCTACAGCATTTATGCTATCAATCAACTTGCTTAACATGGAGAGGATCATGAAATGTTAATGAAAAAAAGGACTGCGCTTGTTCAGATTGATCTGTTGTCATAAGTGGAGCAGCATACAGTGCGTATCAAATACTCAAAGTATGACATCAAAGTAGACGCTTGCTAGATATGACTGACTCACTGTGGTGAGGATGCATTTACATTTTCTGGCCTCATTAGTAATCAAGTTTGGGAAATCAACCAATTTCTTCTTGTTTTGTGTCCAGGACTGGCTCGGTAGGTATGGGTACCTTCCTCGTCCTGACCCACATACAAGTCAGCTGCTGACGAAAGAAGGGATTGAAGAAGCTGTTCGTACCATGCAGAGATTCGGAGGGCTCCGGGAAACTGGGAAGCTTGGTAAGTTATTCTTAACTCACATCTGTTAGGAGAATGTATCACTGTATTTATACACAATTCTTTGTGCAAAGCTCTCGAGTTACCCCTCATTTCTTTGCAATTTGCTTCTAAGGAGTCAGAGTGTTTTATAACTTTTTTAATCAATTAGTTTTTTAAGTGGTCTTGAGCAATAGTTCGTTTAATTAGTTAGTTTGTTTAATTCATGCTCAGTTGTTGCCATATAAGACATAGAGGTCCAGGTGTAAGTGAGATAGATGGTAAATTCATGTGGATTACAAAATACCTGAATTTACCATGTCAATTTTTAACTGATATTAAAAACTTTTCCTGGGAAAAAGCTGCCAGGAGTCCTTCATCCAACCACCTGTTCATAAAGCAGTTCATAAATGTTAAGGAAAGCAAACATTGTAGCTGCTCCCATCCATCAAGCAGAAAAAAAGGCACCAAATCCAACAAATTAATCAGTTTGAACCCTTTTTGTACACTTTATTACCTGCAGGTCACTGCAAAAACACATTGTCGTTGACATTCACAGGCATTAGGTAGTTTTTTGCACCAAGTTTATTCCCAAAAAGCTATTAGCTGAAAGCTTGACATATCAAGAAATAACAACTGCAAATGACAAGAAAACTTCCTTAAAAAAAGAGTTCGGGCTGTGTTGATGACATTGTATTTCCATATACACTACCAGTCAAAACTTTGGACGGTTCGATCCCCGGGCTCTCTGTCCTGGTCGTTGTGTCCTTGGGCAAGACACTTTACCCTACCGCCTACTGGTGTTGGCCAGAGGGGCCAATGGCGCGATATG